AGGTGACCCAAAAATGTAGGAAAAAATCAATTGTGACCTCAGTCCATATTTAAAATTATCATTTACTTGCTTGAAATATCAACCTAAAAACAAATGTGATACTGTACCATTCCGATTGTCGATATTGCCCGCCCGTGTAATAACCTATCGATATCAGCCCACATCTGGTATTATCATTGCGCTTCCAGATATATCAGCCAGCATCCAGGTCTTCAACACAGTCCGGTGACCGCTTCAAATTTTAGAGGCTTGCTGTTGTCGTCTGCACCACTCGTCTACAATGGAGTGTAATGGAGAGGCAGTACTCGAGTCATTAGATCAACGAATTGGTTGTATACATGCACTTTAGGTTTTCAATATCATACTCTGAAAAACAGCATGAAAGTCATATTATGTTTAGAGGTTATTACATGCCTGTTTTCATATCAGACCCCAGATTGGCACCAAGCTTCCTATATCAGACCCAAGGGCAGAAGAGTATGATATTGAAAACCTAAAGTGCATGTCTATATATAACAACCAAACAAGAGGCCCAAGAGGGCCTGTATCGCTCACCTGAATATTTAAGCAGTCATAGCAAAATATTCTCATTAAATATTATATTGCACTAAAACTATTTCCCTCGCAAACTTTGTTGGCTCCAGCTGTTGAAACTACCAGCAAAATATTATTATAAGATTCTATGCTTTTTTATTCTTCTTCAGAAGTTGCTTGACATACTTTTCCCTGTGATCTTGTAAGTAGGTCAATGTCATTTTCCTTCTCAAATTGGTTAGCTCTATTCCAAAAAGCTACCAGCCAAATCTTATGATTCCATTCCTTTTAGTTCTCAAGAACAAATCCATTAAAATGTTGTTGACCTCTGTGACCTCTAAAGTAGGTTGAGGTCATTTTCATTTGCAAACTTTGGTGAGCTCTATCCCGGGAAGTCACCAGCCAAATATTATAATTTTATGCCTTTTAATTCTTCAGAAGAAGCTGTTTGAACTGTTTGACATATTTGAACGCTGTGACCTTGAAAGTAGGTCAAGGTCATTTTCATTCGCAAACTTTGTTTGGCTCTTTCCCAGGAAGCCACCTGCCAAATATTAAGATTTTATAACTACCAGTTCTTCAGAAGAAGTCGTTTAAAGTGTTTGACATATCTGCCTCATGTGACCTTAAAAGAAGGTCAAGGTCATTTTCATTCTCAAACTTTGTTCGGCTCTTTCCTAGGAAGCTACAAGCCAAATATAGAGATTATATACCTTTCAGTTCTTCAGAAGAAGTCGTTTGAAGTGTCTGACACATTTGACTCCTGTGACCTTGAAAGAAGGTCAAGGTCATTTTCATTCTCAAACTTTGTCGGGCTCTATCCAAGGAAGCCATCAATCAAAAATAAAGATTCTATACCTTTCAGTTCTTCAGAAGAAGTCATTTGAAGCTTTTGACATATATGACCCCTGTGACCTTGAAAGTAGGTCAAACTAGTTTTCATTCTCAAACTTTGTTGGGCTCTATCCCAGGAAGCCACCAGCCAAATATAAAGATTATATACCTTTCAGTTCTTCAGAAGAAGTCGTTTGAAGTGTTTGACACATTTGACCCCTGTGACCTTGAAAGTAGGTCAAGGTCATTTTCATTCTCAAACTTTGTTGGGCTCTATCCCAGGAAGCCATCAGCCAAATATGAAGATTCTATACCTTTTAGTTCTTTAGAAGAAGTCGTTTGAAGTTTTTGACATACTTGACCCCTGTGACCTTGAAAACAGGTCAAGGTCATTTTCGTTCTCAAACTTTGTAGGGCTTCTAACAACGAAGCTTTCAGCCAAATATCATGACTCTAGGCCTGTCTGTTCTTCAGAAGAAGTTGTTTAAAGGAAAAGTTGATGGACGAGGACGGACGACGGACGGACGACGGACGCCGCGCCACGGCATAAGCTCACTTGGCACTTCGTGCCAGGTGAGCTAAAAATGATGGAAGATTATTTCAACTACATTTAGACTGTTAGATGCATTTTCTGTTTGTTTGCAAACTGAAATTGCAAGTTAATATTTTGGTGACATCAGATTAATAGCCACATAATTGCACAGTAAATATTTGTAATAATCTGCATATTAGTTTGTGTACATGTTAATGTTTTGTTAACAAGAATAAAGAGCTAAAACAAACATTCAAGTAAAACAGCCAGAAGACCTTGTATGGAAAACACCTACAATTATTGACTGCGATTGCATTACGCCTTTTCGTGAAGGCTTGCGTCAAATTGACGCATTGTACACTATTCAGTTGTGATATTTACAATGTGAACGCGCGCCATGGCCCAATAGCTCTCCCCAGGCAGGTACAAACTGATGTCAGTGTTTTGACACCATATGAACTCCCTGGATATATCAAACCTACAACACACTATAGGAACTCCCTGGATATATAAAACATACAACACACCATATGAACTCCCTGGATATATCAAACCTACAAAACACCATATGAACTCCCTGGATATATCAAACCTACAACACACCATAGAAACACCCTGGATATATTCAACATACAACACACCATATGAACTTCCCGGATATATCAAACCTACAACACACCATATGGACGACGGACGCTGCCGCATGCTCAACTAGTCCGAATTATTCTGACGTTTTATCAATTTTTTTCATATCGGTCTGTCGTCGATTAACGTCAGAACTCTAGCCCTCTATAATATGCGGGAAATATGCAACCCGCACCCAGAGCGCACTTCAAACTGATATTTAGAAACAAATAGTCACTTTCACACACATGTCGAACATGGATCAAAAGACGGACTGGCTTGTTTGAAATTCTGACTGTAAATTGAGATAAAAATCATATGAAAAAAAAAGTTTTTTTTATAGTAATACCTATGGTGGCATATTTCTGCCATCCACTTGCGACTTACGAGTTACGTATGTCGACATAATTATTGAAAGATGTCGACATAATTTGAGAAGATGTCGACATAATCTGACAAGATGTCGACATAATCTGAGAAGATGTCGACATAACTTTTAAATTATGTCGACATATTATCACATTTGCCGAAATAATTTTGCCGAGATAATTATCTCGTAAGTCGGTAACTCGGCTTTTTATCGTGTTAATGCTCGGGTGTGACATCGACTTGCCACTTACGACTTATTTATGTCGACATCCTATTAGATTATTGCCGACTTACCAAAACGAGGCGTGTGCACGAGGACCGCGAAGGTGGGCTGATGCTGACTGGACAGTGGTGACTATACTGGTGAGTAACATGGTAAAATCAATGTAAATACAGTAGACTACTATGATGTAGAGAGTTTATAGCCTCGTTTTGGTAAGTCGGCATTATCTACTAGGATGTCGACATAAATAAGTCGTAAGTGGCAAGTCGATGTCACACCCGAGCATTAACACGATAAAAAGCCGAGTTACCCACTTACGAGATGATTATCTCGGCAAAATTATCTCGGCAAATGTTTTTGCTAAACATAACAGTATCAATTATATAACAATGCTGGAGAAGAACCTTCAGTTAAATTAGATACTCAAATACTATGAAATTCAGAAAGTATATGATTCGAAGTCCTTTCAATTACTTGATTTACTCACAGATAGTCTGTTTTGGACAAGCTAGATATTTTTCCAGATATAGTTCTTTGACCAATCTTATGAAGGGTAGACTAGTAGGTTGTCATTAACCAATTTAAAAATAAAATCGATAAATAAAAGGAATTACGTTACGCTTCATATACATCAACCCAGTGACGTATATATTACATATTACGTAATATGTACGTCTTTGGTCATACGAAGGCAAAATACTAAATGACATGAAAAACATTCGTTTAAAATTCAATCGATTCCATTTGTTTTGCCACGATTCAAATTCCGAACAGCTTCATTAATGTCATCAATAACTATAGGACTGTCTAATTCTTCATATAATGGCAAAGAATTTTCATCTGCATCATTCAAAGTATCATCAAAACCAGTCTCATCGCCACCGTCTGCGGCAAGCCCTTTAAGATGGTTGTACAAAACGTCAATACTCATTTGGGGAGCTGATGATTTAGGCGATGAAAATTTCTTATTGGAACTGTTTTGAGTTGTACTTTCTCAGGTATTCTAGCATGTCACCTTCAAATCTAATATAATCTCTTTTCTTAACAGCTTCTACTGATTTATATAACTTCTTTTTATCAACTAAATATTTATAATTATTTGCAGACTTACATTTTTATAATTATAGAATAAACGTTTTAAATCGGGATCAAACCAATGTTTATGGAACGCCAGAGCTGCCTTAGACTGAGGACAGTATATTACTTAGTTACTATTCAATGTCATGAAGACAGATACACATTCCATATGGTCCCCAACATATGTTATATTATCAAATTATTATGTTAAAGGGGCACCATATTATGTTATGGTGTCAAATTATTATGATATAGTGTCACCATATTATGTTATGTTGTCAAATTATTATGATATAGTGTCACCATATTATGTTATAGGGTCCCCAACATATGTTATACTATCAAATTATTATGTTATATAGTCACCATATTATGTTATGTTGTCAAATTATTATGTTATAGGGTCACCATATTATGTTATGTTGTCAATTTATTATATCATGTGGTCACCATATTATGTTATATAGTCAATTTATTATAGCATATGGTCACCAATTAATGTTAAATTGTCATCGCGGTTTTATGTCACATCGTCAATAAAATATTTCATATAGTCCACAATGACAGTTATATTATCAAACTATGCTATTTGATTCCAAATATACGTTATGTGGTCCAATTTATATTTCACATTATCACTTTATACGATATATGGTCTCTATTGTATGCCATGTCATCACTTAATTATGTTACATAGTCACGGTTTCGTGTTATTAAGATCTTTCGGAAGACGTGTCGTGGTTGTTCGTAATTCTCGCGCGTTTTTCAGATTTAAGCGCATCAGTGATCATGATTCAACAAAAAAAATGGAGGAAAGACAAAGTGGTAAGATTTGCGAGGTTCTGGCAAAATGTGGATTGGAAGGGCTGTACGAACGATTTTTATCGGAACATATAGGTGCCGATGTGATTTGTCAGCTATCTGATGCAGAATTAGTTAGGCTGGGCGTCGAGACAATTGGCCAACGAGCAAATCTTAGGAAATTTGTCCGCGATCAATCACGTGAAACAACTTTTTCGAATTCGTCATTCACAAGCAGCAGTACCAGGAGTGCTCTTGAAATAGCCAACGAAAGGGCTACCCTTTTTAGTAGTTGTACATGTAACCAAAGATCCCGATCTCAAGCACGGAACTTTGGAGGCTCAAGAGCTAGAGCGGCAAGAGGAAGAAGAAGTTTCAAAGATAGAGAATTAACTTTAAAATGGCTAGTGTTTAGCATCCAAAGATCAAACTCGTATTCCTACACCGTCTGAGAGGGAGACTTTAAACAATGCTGGACTCGTGGGGAAAAAAACTATAAAATTATGTAAATCAGACAGTCCTGATGATGTCGAAAACAAACTTGTGTCTAAAATCCTGGATGAAAATGGTGAACCAAAAGGCTTTCTTAAACTAAAGGATGCAGGCGGCTTCTAACTTATGATATCAACTCAAAGCTGTCGTGATTTAAAATATATCGAGTGCTTGTGGTCTGCAGAGAGTTTACAAAGAACCGTCAACTGTCAGACCTGTATTTATGTAAGGCCTGTGCAAAATGATTTAAATGTAGACCCAATACATGTGCCAAATAACGAAAGCAGTTATATGCTAACTCCCTGCAATATTTGTAAAAAAAACTTTCCAGTGAGAGTTCTTCGAGAGCATGTTGAACATTGTGGTATCACAGTTGATGATCAGGATTCCTCGGGCTCTGAGTTTCTGCCTGAAGTACATGTAAGCCTATCAAACCCACCACAAGGTGGTGCTGCTGACCACAATGCTAATGATGTCCATAGTGGTACTAGTAACCACCCTGCCTCTGAGTTTGGAGAAGCAGAAGAGTTTGATTCTATTCAGAGTGACACAGACATTTCATCTGAAGATATTCCAACACTTGGACCACCACCAAATTTAGATATCACGTCAGTTGAAGAAACACTCAGCACACTTATATAGCAACACTCGCATAAAAGATTCAGTAATATCGGATTTGATGGAATCATCCAACTGCATACAGAACAACATATCTAATCCTGTGGAAATTATATGTTTAATTCAACAGAAAATAGTAACTGGTCGTAAACTGGACATTGAAGAGAATTCAGTTCTTTTAGGAGGTGATACCAACCACATATTGATAGACTGCAGAGATAGAGTAACGGAGTCCGCTCTGGAAGAAATTGCAGCCATTGATGCTTTAAGAATTAATATGCCTTGAAGTTCAGTTCTATGGAGAAGTAAGTTGACTAAGAAATAATATGCAATTTATTGTTATACTTTAGCACACTTAACACAAGACTTTGAAGAAGTTGACCTTTTGTACTAATTTTTAAACATTCATTACTTTATCATTTTAACATTAAAATGTGTATTTATTAAGAAACTGCACACATGACGAACTTCTTGGTCCCTTGCTGTTCCTAAATGCAATTAACTTATTCTTTTTGATGATTTCAACTGAGTTGATTTTATCTTCTAAAGAATAGGAAATTAATTTATATATATATTATAAAAGCAGAAAAATTATCCTTCGGACGAAGAAATAATGTAAAATGAAATATTCTCAACAAAGAGTCTTTGAAGTACCTTGATCTCTTCTAGGAGATTCTTCAGACTGTTCATTTAAAGAAGATGTTGTGACGTCACATAATAGTTCGCTATAGCGATGTCCGCTATTTACGTACCCGTCATAGTGATATCACAGAAATAGAAATACATAATTATGGTCTTAAGGCAGAGAGTACTATTTGTTAAGGATTTATAATTATATATATATAATAAATATAGGATTTAGAATTACATTATACATATATATATATGTGTGTGTATTATTGGTCAGGCACAGTGTCAACATGTCATCTAGGACTATTTACATAATCATAATTAATGCATATTCATTAATTGATCATGATGCAATATTTTTTAATGTATTGTAGGTGTCAGTTGACTTGAGAGGCCCCAGAAAGGAGTTTTTCGTTTTAGTCCTCAACGAATTAAAACAAAAGTATTTTGACCCAGTCAGGGAGTGGTCTGGAGAATACCAGACCATTGGAAAGATAATGGGTAGGTATATATTATAGTGTCACTTATGTGTAAAAAGCATGATGTATACAGTAAATATCAATGTATATGATAGGTAGCACAGATAATCAAAAGCTTGTTTTGAATCCTGAATTTCAAAGTGACATTTTACTGTTGAATGCAAAATTGTATATATATGGCCCCCACCTTTCCGAATCACTGCATTTCAGTGGACAAGAGAGGTCCGTAAAATTTAATGCAAATTTGCCGGATTTTAAAATATTTTCCCTTACTGTGATAAGTTTTATAATATATACGGCAAGATTTCTGCACAGTACTGTACCTTTATTTATCTACTTAAAAATTCCAACCTAATTGATTTACGGAGAGTGGCTTAACTTGATATAATTTATCTAGATGTTAACATCAATATGCCTGGAAGTTGACATAACATATTTTTCAATTTGCTAATATTGACTTCCGACAAAATCAAAACAAATTAGAGCTTGTGCAAGTCTAGTTGAACTTTAATATAACATCTTATTCGAATGCACCGTTAAAATTATTTCAACTTCCGTTTTCAGGATGACAAACGATTACCTTTGTCGCTGTAAATGCTGATAATATGGATACAACTTCAAAAATGTGTTTCCTTTACAGCCTTGAGTTTACTCCAAAATGGTAAGCTGCCACGCCTCTTGTCATCTGAGTTGGTCGAAGAAGTTTTCAGTGAAAGCGAAAACTGCAAACAATTTATACTCGACAGCAGAAAGGGCCTTGATGCATTGGGTGTTTACACGGTTAGTACATGTACCATATTTTTCATTAACCCTTTCACCCCTGTGTAACTTTAGTAGACCCTACCATGCATTGATCTAGATGAGTCCTTTATGGTCTACAGTGGTGAAAGGGTTAATTGAAAAATTATTTTAATTATGCAGAAATTAACCAAATGATTGGAATACACAATTCATTTCCAGGTACAAAATTCATGGCTTTTGTGGGAGATAAAATGTGATCTTGAGGAAATTCCGTTGATTATAGAATGGTATCAATCTGAATCGGAACTAAAGATAAACATGAAAGGGCAATAACTTTTACAAAAATAGTTGCATCAAAATGCCACTCAAAAAAACCCACCATCATGATTATGAAGCATACTATGCTTGAAAAAATGTATGAGGAGATCTCCTGACGAACAGAGGTGTATGCCAGACAATGCCATACAAATAAAAATTTGATGGGCTTATAAAATTAAAAGACATGTTGCGTTTCAATAGATAATATGTTGGAAGGTCCATTATTTTGTTATTATGTATATATATCATTTTGTACAATATATGGAATTAGTCTATGTTCTAAATATATATAATTGTAACAATCAATTTACAGCTTGCTTCAAAACTACCAACACTAGTTCATGTATTCACTCCTGGGGCTTCAACTCCTCTGTCAGTCAAGAAATTGACCAACATTTTGAGTCCAATATTAAGTGACAATGGATCAAACAAAAGGAGATTGGAAGCAGCTGTGTATGCTAAATTTGTGAAATACATACGTGAAGTAGCAAGTAAGTATCTTGACGGCAGTTTCCTTTATATCACAAACCCCCTCCCTCCAACAAAAATAAGTATAGCACTTGAATTGTGTACGCCATGACCTTGTCAGCAAAACACTTAATATAGGTTAATGTTTTGTCAAAATTTTGTGAAACACCATGGAAGACCCACTTAAGTCGGGCATGTAGGCCTAATTTTTGGATCTGCATATTTTTGATCCCCGAGACCTTGAAAATAGGCCAATATCATTTAGTCGAGGAAACTTTGTGGCACTTTGGCACTCCATCCTGACAGTACTGGCCAAATATCATGACAGGACTCTGGTATCTGGGTCTCCATTGATAAGCTTAAGGTGGCTCCACACATCGTCATCAGCGTCCATTTTCGTGACGTACTTCCGGAAAAAGTACAGCTCGGACTCAATTATCTTGATCGAAATGTGCATGTACACCGTGTCGTCATTTCTGATTGCGTATCGGGCATACAATATCGTAGTGCAAATTATAGTAACACCTAGGCCGTTTTCATTTAAACGGTCAAACCGATGGGACCACTGTTGTTCGTTTTTTAAATAAGGTCGGACCTAATAATCTGATGCTGCTTTCAGGCGAGCCTTGAGAAAGCCTTGCAAGGCCTGCATACATATTTGCAGGTACGCCAGGATTTATACCCGAAATTGTTACATTTATAAACGGTCAAACCGGTTGCTCCGCATAAACGAACAGGCCCCTGCTGGTAAACAATAGTACACGTGCGTGCCGATGATGTCAACACCCGATATCGAGATTTTACCGGGAAATGTATAATAACACGTACTTCAGGAATAAAGCTTTCCAATTATAGACATAAACAGACTCACGGGAAGACAGTGACATGAGACCAAACGACCTCAAGAAGGTCATATAGGAAACGCATGGAATGCGGACGTACCGACCTCACATGTGCAACACGAGTTCATAAGCTCGAGGCTGTTACCATTTACGCTGTTGAGGGAGTTTAGCTCGGTCGATTAAATCGTGTTTACAAATGTAGTCTACTTACTCTGTGAAAATAATATTTTGTAAAATATCAAGATACCTATGAAATGCATGTGTGAGTGCACGTGAGAACGGCATACCATGCGATAGCCTCTGGTCACATATGTACCTGACATGTAATTATAAATATACCGTGAGTTAGCGGACTGTGGAATGATGTCCAAAGTGTACATGACTGAGGGTAATTTGGTNTGTTCAATTTCCCATTCTATATGTATAGATCTTTGTGTCCTGTTGGCTTTTAGCTTGTAGATAATCACTTTTATACGTTCAAATTCAATAAAAAACACTTTGTGTAACATGTGTTACATATTTTGCGATAAATAAAATATTTGTAGGGTTAATTAGAAATGCTTCTTTTCATTTTATTATTGTTGTTATTGTTCCGAACAATGTCACACACACAAAAACCCGGAAAATATTAAAATTGACGAAAATTCAATTCTTTGTTTTTTTTCTCCAAAAAAGTCCCCAAACTATCGGAATGTTAAGATTTTCATAAAATCAACTCTACATAGTTGCATAACCATTATATGAAAGTTTCAACGAATTTGGCTGGTTAATTGCGAAAGTGTGGAGCCACCTTAAGGGATTCAATTATTAATAAGCGACAAAACTAGGCACAAGTTCCTAGAAGTATTTTTTGAAATTAAATTATTTTAATAAATAATTTTATCGCAACTTATGGACAAAGCCAATTGATCATCATCTCTTGATGTACAGGTAACGAATTATCAACTGTCATAAATTTGAAGATCTTTGACAAACTGTCAATGTGTAATCTGATAATAAGCCTATATCCATTTCAAACAATTTCATTGTTGGAACAAAAGGATTAGGATATAAATACCGTAGATTGTCCCAAATTATAAACCATTTCTATTATTTTTATTTGATAAGCTTACAACTTGAATGCGAAGTGATGTAATGTCCTTGACTTATTAACACTTAATTATGGTAATAACTTTCATATTTGATCAAATTATAGGGTTGACAATTGGCACTTCATGGAAGCAGAATTCAAACGGGGTAGCTTTTGCACAAGTGAGCACTTTAATGCCCGTAAACTTATATATACAGCATATATGATATCACATTCTTTCTGTCTAACTTCATTTCCTAATTATTATGTTGCAGGTGGGCATAGAGGCGATGTGACATTGAACAGCATACTTCAGTTCGTGACTGGGGCAGATGAAGAACCCATACTTGGTTATCAGATAAAACCAACTACATTTTGCATATGCTGGTGTTAGTTTTCTCCCAACATCAAACACCTGTATAAACAAGTTGATACTCAGTATCCTAGAGAAAATGGAGCTTCCTGATGATTCTATTCTCCATGGATTGTTTGATTATGCATTTTGTAATTTCTACTTTGGACTAAAGTAATCTATGTTGTGATTCTCAAGTTTTACATGATACATTCTAAACCCCTGGATGTGAGCTCCTGATCACTTTGCTTTTATTCAATATATAAATTGAAATATATGTTGAATCATTTTGGCATTATTTTGCTGCTTTGTATGTTGGACATTTAAATGATAGTGATTTCAGTGATTGAACTGTTCTGTGAACTTATATATATATTTAAGATGAAATTGATTGGGCATACATTGAAACACATCTAGTGTTGCCCTGGCCATCATTTCATTATATTTTTCCGCTTAATTTCTACTTCTCTTGTAAATACATGAACAATGAACTGAAATTTGTAGTTTGATAATACAAATAAATGATTAAATTTGGTGGCGGTCAATTTGCCCTGAATTTAAAATATTTCCAGAAATTATTTAATCCTACTCTTTTACAGAGCTGTGTGGATATTGAATTGAAATGAGACATCAGAAAATCAAAATGGTCAACAGACTGCTATCTAAAATTTTGGTAGATAAAGTTTGTTATTGCAATTTTTCACAAAGTTAAAGTTCTTGATTTTGATAGTTTTAGAATACCTGTTGGTTTCCCTTTGTCCTTATTAGTTGTGGGCGGATTTTTTTTTATTATTCTATTGTTCATTAATGTTACAAATTTAATGTCTATAACATAGAATTAAAAGCAAATAAATGCAAGACTGAAGGATGGGAAAAATAGAATATAAGGGGAAATAAAAGATCCAATTAAGATCATACAATGGTTGTCACCAAGATCCTGAGAGATATCTTGTCTAGAGTTAAGATTGGATTTTAAGACTAGTTCACTTATTTTCTCAGTAGTTGATGGGGATATTTATTAAACTGACATTTGAGAATTGTAGTCAGCCATTGTTACAGCCATCAATTAAGTAAAAAAAAACATGGAAGCCTGAAAATTAATTAAGGTAGTAATGTTAAGAGTCAACACTAGTAAAAGCTTTAGACTTCTCATATTTAGTTGTTGGCATGGCAAGGGAATTTGCATCACACTGACATAAAGTTATTGAACTAGAAATATTTTTAAAAGGAAAATGTGATAATATAATCATCAAAAATATTGTGAACATTTAAGCTTCACATTTACACTAGTCATTATAAGAAATATTGTAATCAATCTTCTTTTTTTTTTACTGCTTGCCTTGATAGAAAATCAACCCTTTTACTTTAAATGTGAGTTGTTGGGATGTCTTTGTGATTTGTTGTCTGTATGTCAGTAAACAATCCTTATGGCTATTTCTGAAGTAAGTACTGGAAGGATTTTTAGCCCACAATTTGATTTTGGGATTGATAAAAAAGTAACATGGCTGAGAGGCGGCAATCTTGGATTTTGCCAATAAAAAATTGTTATGGCTATAATTTCTTCAGTAGTACTGGATGGATCTTTCACAGATTTCATATGTAGGTTTCCCATGCTCCCTAGTTGTGCTGGATTTATGGACTTTCACATAAAAAAAGAAAAATTACAGACAGGCACCCATCTTCGATTTGACAGTTGAAGAATAATTTCACTCTTTCTTTAGGGAAATTTTCAAATTTCATATCATTGTAATCAATCAAAGGTAGGCATAAAGATCCCTCTGGGATCTTTTGTTCTCAAATCTCATATGTAGGTTCTCCTTGGTCCATAGTTGTGCAAATTTTGTGACTAATTGGAAAACAAAATGGCCAACAGGAAGCCATTTTGAATTTTCACAGCTGAAGTTTATTATACCCAAATTTATTTGTTGAAAAAATCATGAAACTTTGTGTATACAATTTGTAATACATGTACTAAGACAACTTGCAGTGTATGTACCAAATACAGGGTCTGCAACCTTTTTAATTACAGAGTTATTGCCCTTTGTTAAAATTTTGGTATGGAGCATAACTTTGCCCCAAACGCTTAAGCAAGGATCACAAAACTTTACTTGGTAAAACATTATTCTTTCCTCTTCCAAACTCTTCATTTTAACATATTTTAACAGATATGTGTTATTGATATGACCAACTACAAAATTCACAGATAGAAAAAGCCTCCTATAAAGTTGATTTCAGGGAGCATTCATCAATTCCACCGATACACTTGTCTTGAGAAAGTAATTGATGGATTAATTATGTCTCTCTGCAAATGAAGGGAGATATTTTGTATAAGTACTGGTTCTTCTTCTTTTTTCTTCTTCTGGTTCTTCTAATCTGATTTGTCCGGGCCATAACTTTTAAACCGTTAAAAGATATTTTGATGAAACTTTAGGTATGCATGCATCATCCACAGGAGGTGTGCAGTGCACTGGAATTAGGTCACTGTGACCTTCAACTCAAGGTCAAATAAGTGCACATTTTCAGTGAGTTCTTGTTTGGCCCGTAAATTGCAAACCGTTAAAGATATCTTAATCAAACTTGAAGTATACCTGCATCACCCACAGAAGGTGTGCAACACACTGGAACTAGGTCTCATGCCCCACTATATACAGAATTATGGCCCTTTGTTTAATTTTAAAACCGAAGTTTGTCCAGAGCATAAGTTCTATGTTATTTCACCTACGTTGACCATACTTTCCATATAGATGTATCTTGGGAAGGCGGAATTTCTCACACTAAAATCAGATTTTATGGCCCTTTGTTTATTTTTAATACCGAAGTTTGTCCACAGCATAACTTCTAAACCATTAAAGATATCTTAATCAAACTTAAAGTATACCTGCATCACTCACAGAAGGTGTGCAGTTTACTTGAATTAGGTCTTGCATTGTGCGTCACATGTACAGAGTTATGGCCCTTTGTTTAATTTCACTACCAGAGTTTGTCCATGGCATAAGTTCCATGTAATTACTTCAATGCGGGGCCCTATACCAATTCATCCTTCCGTCCGTCACACTCTTGGGTCAAAGGTCAAGGTCAAATTTTGTATCTTTACCCTGATAAACATTTTGTTATGACATTAGGAAGCAAAGTTAGTTGGAATTTAACAAGGAGTCAACTGACTGAAGGTCAATGTCACTGGGTCAATTTCAAAGTCAGATATTGTATCTTTTTACCGATGAACATTTTTTGTATGTTATTATGAAGCAAAGTTGTTCAGAACTTCACACGGAGTCAACTGACCAAAGATCAAGGTTAGGGGTTCCAAAGGTTCAAGGTCAAGTTTTGTATTTTTCACTGATGAACATTTTGTTATGATATTATGAAGCAAAGTTGGTTGGAATTGAAGAATGAGTCAACTGACCAAAGATCAGGGTCACTGGGTTAAAGGTCCAGGTCATTTGGGTTCAAATTAAAAGGTCAAAGACAAAGTGGATCTCTTACTTTGATCCTGGCTCTTGATGGGGGAGGGATTTAAGGGGAAATAAAACATATCAAAGCTAACAAATGAGTATTGCAACAGTATTTACATTTGTTAGCCCAGCAAATATGGAGGTGGACGGAAACAAGACTCGCATCATAGTACATGTAAAATGTGTATTTTGCTTCCTTGCGAAGTCCAAATGTCAAACGTCAAGCTCAGCTATATGGGCAGATTGCTTCTTGATGATTATGGGGGATATATTGCCACAAGACGGGGCCCTTACTGACCTGTCAGTGTTCTAGTTTCACCTACGTGAGTAGGAATGTCAAAATTTGAAATTCGGGTCTCGTGCCCCACTATATAAAGCGATATTGCCATTTCAGGCATTTTTCTATTGGCTAATAAGGGGAGACACGTTTTTGTTCACAAAAACAAAATTCTAGTTCATTCTTAGATTTCATGAGCATACATGTATGTAGGTTCCCTAGGCCCGGTCCTTGGTTGTGATTTTTCCAATTTGAGACTTATAAATGAAATGACAGACAGGTGGCAATCTTAGATTTTGAGTTAATTATCAAGTACCAGGGCATCATCTTCGAATGTGGTATGTAGGTTCCCTTTTGGTTCACATTGTATATGCACAACTTTTGGTACTGATGGACCAAAGAACAAATCGGAGGACATATGAGAAGGATAAAAAGATCCAACTGATGTTGAATTGTTAAAGGTCATACGATGTTGAGTGCCAAGATTGCTATGGGATCGCTATATATGATCTTGTTGAAGCTTTAAATTAGCACCCCTGGAACATTTCATGGCAAAATTGAGGGCAAAAGCGCAGTTACCCAATTGGTCTACAGCAGGTTTCAGGAGAGGGAAAAACTGACCAATCACAGGCTGATACGCTCCTTTGAAGATTACGAAGGCGCGACATACGTTATGTGACATCGAGATTCTTTTGATGCGCATCAAAGGATCAAACTAGTCTTCTCGTTTTATCCACCAGGTGTCACACATGGAACCTCCAATTTTGCCATGAAATGTTCCAGGGGTGATTGTAACCCATGGGAGTATCGAGGATGTGCTTAAGGAGCTTTCATTATCATAAAATTAACTAAAATATAAGCAGCTATTTAATACCAAGTGCACGTATATCAGTAATTAAAGATAATTGGAATTATAATGTTCTGGTGAAAGTCTTATCTGGAAGTGCATTAGGTTGGATCTGTCATGCAAAAAAAAGTGTTGTCAGTTTTGGTAATGTATGTTAAAAAGATGTCTTTGAACCATCATATTTAACAGAAATCAGTATAAATTTTAGAACCAATTCAGATATGAAAATTAATTTTATTGATTCTATTGAAATCAATTGAATGTTAAAAATGTTAGACTTACTTTTCATTTTGTATTGTGTTATTAATAAAAATATGTTTCCTGGTTTTTTTCGGCTCCAAAAAAAAAAAAGGATAGGTAGGTACTTATAAGGAAACACATTTTATTTTAATTTTTCATTTTGTTTTATTTTCTGGTGAAGAAAATCTACTGATTACCTTTCTGAATGTTAAAAATATGTTATTGTTTTAATAAAGTATGAAAGGCACCAAATATGTTTTTTGATTGATGTAAAATAAATACACAAATGCATCAACAGTTTTTAGGTCACCTGAGACAAAGTCTCAAGTGACCTATTGCGATCGCCTTTTGTCCGTCGTCGTCCGTCGTGAGTCCGTAAACGATTTACATTTTCGACTTCTTCTCCAAAACCCCCGAACCAATTTCAATGAAATTTTGCAGGGACCTTCCATGGACAAAGGTCAACAAAAATAGTTGCCGGTTTAGTCCTACGCCCCCAGGGGCCTGAGGGGCGGGGCCAAAAGGGGTCAAATTGACTAAAATTTCAAAAATCTTCTTCTCCA